GTCCTGAACCTCTTGCTTCTTACCTCCAAGCTGCTGGACTTACAGTGTACCTATACCTTGCCAAATTCAGAATCTTGCTGAAGGTCGTCCGGTAACTGAAGAACCAAGTTTGAACTTGGGTCTCTTTGGCTTAAAACATGAGTGAGCTTGCATATATGTGCATGGATGATCTCTCTCTCTCTCTCTCTCTCTCTCCCTCTCTCTCTCTCTCTCTCTCTCACACACACACACACACACATGCCCTCCAAGCACAATAGTTCAAATAACTATTTAAAAAGTTCCCAAGCTGTTTAAATTTGTATTATGTGCATTTTTTACTTTTTCAAAAGGCTGTTGGAGTTTGTTGGGCTCAAGCTTCTGCCCACAGTTATTTTTACATGAGTCATGTGTATAAAGAGATGAATATAGAGATTTTGCTTATATTAGTTTAATTCCTACTTATATAGAGATATATGTAATTTCATTATACCTATTTATATGGGCATAATGTACATAAAATCAGTGTGGGACAGTGCATATGTACTAGCTTTGCTGAGTCACATCCATGGAAATATAGTCTAGCAGTCAGAAGTCAAATAATTTTAATTTTCATTTGCACCTCTTGAAGGCCATCAAGGGAAACCCAGTCTGTAACCCAGAGTGGCATCTGAGAAGTCCCAGGGCTTTTCTTCTACTGACTCTAATTTCTGATCTATGTCCCCAGAGTACTCAGCCCAAGATTGCTTTTGCTCTTTCCCCCTGGCCCCATTTTCCCAACTCAGCTGTTAATTATATAGAACAATTTCATATTGCCTCCCCATTATCCATTCTTTGAATGCTCTGCAAAAAGGACAGCCAGCAGCTGACCCTGTCATCTAGAGGACATCTGCTTAGAAGAGGGAAGGGCAGAGGTGAAGCTGGAGTTGGAGGAAAGGAAGATGGGACACAGTCCTGCATTATCTCTTCTTTGAAAAGTTACAAGTTTGTAAATTTGGCCCTGTTCTAGACACCATTTTGTCCATATTTATATTGTTTGTAGTGCTTGTTCATATTGTCCATCAGTATCAATTTTGATATCATTTTAGGCTTTAAAATTTGGATGGTGTACACGTGGTGCCAGACACTGTCTCAGGTGCTTTTGTGTGTCAATTCACTTCACTTTCACAGATATGGCCAAGTCACGCAGAAACTAAGCCAAGTCCACAAGGTCCCACAGCTAATAAGAACCCAATGAGACTGAACCCAGGCATGTGGCTTTAGGAGTTTTAATTTAGCCATTTAGCATAACCACCCGTCCTGTGAAAGAGTAGGATTTCCCCTTAATTACTAGGATCTTAAAAATAGCCTGATATGGTGCTGCATTTAATCCCACACCATGAAGGAGGAGGAAGGCAAGTGTATCAGGAACTCAATGCCAGCCTTGGTTAGATGAGAAAACAAAAAAACAAAAAACAAAAAACAAAAAACAACTAAGGATTACTAATCCACCATTCTAGGTTTTCTACCTGCTTTGAATTATTGGTATAATAATTGGTCCGTTGAACCGGTGTGGGGCTCTTTCTGAAGCTCTTGGAAATAGTTGGGTTTGGAAGACATCTGTCCTTTTTCCTGCTTTCTCAGGAAGAAAGATCATATCCTTTAGGCGGGTAGATGCTTTTGTTCCTAATAACTGAAATACATTGATTTTATAAAGCATGAAGCTGTAAGCAAAGCACACATGGGAAAACAAGGTTGAGCAGCAAGTGACAACTGTCCACTTAGCAGTGAGTGCGTTTGCAGGGGGGTCACTTTCCTATGAATGAAGCTCAGAAGAAAGAATGCAAATAGGAAGCCAGAATCAGTGCTTCTTGAAACTGGGCTTGTGCAAGCTCTCTCTTAATCTGCTGCCTACTCTGCCTGCTGTGTGTGAACTCCTTTATGGAGCAACAGGCGTGGCTGTTGCCTAGCTCCTGTGCTGCTTCAGTTCTGCCTCCTGAGTCCACAGGGATGTCTCTTGTGGAGCTCTACATATTTCCGCTTCACTCCCCAGCCCCACCCCCCAGATCCCATCCTCCCCCACCCCACCCCACCTGGATCCTGCCTCCTGAGCCCACCCAGATGTGTTCTGTGGAGCACTGCACTCGCCCAAGCCTGGGTTGTGCTTCAGTCCTCCCTGTAGTGTTAACCACTCAGATGTAGCATAGGGAAACATCTACGCATCTTTCCTGACAAGATTCTTAGACTAGGACTGAGGGGCTGGAGAGAGAGCTCTCCCTGATTAAGAGCATTTGTTGTTCTTGCAGAGGAACCAGGGTCCAGTCCTCACCACCCACATTGTGGTTCACAGCCATCCATGATTTTAGTTCCAAGGGATCTGACGCCTTCTCCTGACCTCTATAGGTACCAGGCATGCATACGGTCCATGTCATTTGTTCAGGCAAACATTCATACACATAAAATAGAGCAAAACAAACAAAAGATTTTTAAAAATTAGGATTGGGTATGACAGAGAAACCCAAGTTGAGCCCTGGAAGGGAGTAAGACACTGGGGTTTGAGCACTGTCTAACAGACCAGGAAACAAGGCAGAAGTCGCACAACAGCTTTCTCTACGTTCACCTTCCTTCTTAATAGAAGGTCAGGCCTGTTGGGTGTCTGGCCTCCTAGTCTCATTTTCCTGCTCAGCTGACTATGTGCTGCCTGGCTGAATTCTGCTACCCAGATTTCTTCACATCTAAGAATCTTCTGAGAAGTGTTTTGCCAGGACTGCAACTTGTAGCAAAGTCAATATTTGTCACACCTTCCACACTGAACCTGAGACAAGGGACAGGCTGAGCCTTGAAAGATAAATATGAAACTGCTCCTAGCGTGTTGGGTCAGGATTCACCAGTGTTTACTTTGGAGATGGTGCCAAGGAGTGGAGCCCAGTGAAGCACTGCCAGAGAACACAGCTTGTGTGTCAGCCAGGGACACCCACACCCGCTCATCACATGAGCAGGTGAGCCAGTTTTTCCTGGGGAAATCCCTGGTAATTTCTGGAGCTATTTAAGAACCCCCAAGGTGTCCTGATTAAGGCAAAGGCTCAGAAGTGAGATAGAGCAGCCTTTAGAAGCCAGCTTCACTACTTTCTCAATGACTGGACAATATACTCTCTGTCTCTCTCTCTCATTTTTTTTTCTTCTTTGTTTTTGTTTTGAGACAAGGTTTTACACTGTAGCCCAGGGTGTTCCATGTAGTCTACACTGGCCTCAAATTCATGGCAACCCTCTTGTTTTAGTCTCTGGAGGGCTGGGAATATAGAGTTGAAACTCCATCCTGGGCTTTAAATTCTCCTCTTTAGCTGAGTCTTCATCTGTCTAAATGACCAACTTCTGTAGAGTTCGTGTAAGGATTAAATGAGATGATTTGTGCTTTGTGCAAGGGCTAGCAGGTGTTACCAGTAAGCACCTGATGATGTAAGAGAAAACCATCGAACAAAAGGTTTCAAGCATTGGTCTCTCCACCAGAGCAACCATTAAGATGGCAACACCTGTCAAAATTTTTAGAATTCTGTGATGTATTCAAAAGAAAATAAAATATCCAGCTATCATGGCAAAGATGCCAAATTTTGGCATTTAACTAAATCTGTAAGGTCATTAGTTAACTGCTGAGAGATCAGAAAAGAAATTCAGACCACACAAGGAATGCATTTTGCAGATATAAAGTCACCACAACTGGCGACAGCAAATGCCAGTTGTACATGTGAGAGAATCAGGTTTCCAGGGTCAACACATTACAATATTCAGGATACCCACTTTTTGACAAAAATTTACAAAAGCTACAAAAGGATTGAAAGGTGTGGTCAATCCAAAGGAAAAAGAAAGGCAGATGTTGTTCCCAAGAAAGCCCAGCCATTGGGCCTAAGAAACAGAGACTTGAAGTCTACCATTTAATTACACTAAAAGTGGAAAAAGAAACAGTGGCAAACAACTAAAATCAGTGAAATTTATTTCTGAACAGAGAATATTGGTGGGCAGAGAGAAATTATAGTAGGAAACCAAATAGAAATGTTGGAGCTAACAAGTATAACAGGTGAAATAAAAATTTCATTATTTAGCCGCAGACTTGAAGAGGCAGGAGAACTGGTGACCATGAAGCCGGGTCAGTTGAAACGATCTAGTTTGAGGAGCAGAAAGAAAAAGAACAAAGACAAGGAGAGGGCTGTGGGATGCAAATGCACTGACATACATAGCTGGCGTTCCAGGAGAGGAGGAAGCTGGAAGAACAAAGAAATAAGGGTTGAAAACTATCGAAGTTGGTGAAAGACATGGATGTCTGTCTCCACTCAGAAAACAAGGAACTGCAGGAAATTCAAAGAGTGTACTGAGATGCATTGTGATGACAGCTACAAATGATTCCTCAGTACTGCTTCTGCAGCCTACGCACAACACTGTCCTCATTACACACTCTCGAGAAGCAAGGGTGGCTTTTATTTTTCATCTCGGCCTTTTAAAGGACAGGGCCTATTCAGAACTTTGTGACTAAGTGGGAAGCTATGCATGTGGAGCAGTTCTGTATTTCTGTCCTGCCTTTCACCATCTCTGTGACCGCTCTCTCCTGTCCTGCCTCCCTCCCATCTGCTGGGGTCTTGCTATATATCCTTGACCATCCTTGAACTTACTAGGAGACCATACTGCCCCCACACTTACCAGTATTCCTCTGGCCTCTGCCTCCTGAATGCTGGGGTTACTGGGGAGTGCTGCCATGCCCCAGCTATACTAGCTCCGTGACTAGGGCTGCTTTCAGAAGTTCTCTGACCCCTGAATCTTTCTTCAAAAATGTACAGAACAAGCAGGTAATTTTCAGGCTAGCACATTTTTGTGACACTTGTGAAAGCAGCTAATAGAAGAGAATAATGTTATGAAGGAATCTCTTCATCTTGTATGCTGGTTAGTTTTCTGTCAGCTTGACCCAGGCCAGGGTCATCTAGGAAGAGAGATTGAGATTAATTTCTCAATTAATATTGAGAAAACTGCCTCCACTAGATCGGCCGGTAAGCCACAACTCTGTGAAACATTTTCTTTATTAATGATTGATGAGGGCAATGCCACCCCTGGGTGGGTGGTCCTGGAAGGTATAAGAAAGCAATTATTAAGGAAAACTTTATTTATTAACAGGCTTACTGCCGAAATATTTTTTGGTTTTACATTGTATGATAAATATTACAAGTATTTTTTTTCTCATTTCTTGGTTAAAATTACCATCAAGGAAGAAGTAACCAGTTTTGACTCGTTACAAAACAAAATTGAGATAAATTAACCCTTGAACACACACACACACACACACTATTTCATTCCTATTTTTAAAAACATAAACAAATTTGAGTAATACTTTATATTTTATCACTTATTTAAACCTTATCATTCAATTTAACACATTCATTGTTCTTGTTCAATGAATCGTTTATTTGACTTAGGGAAAAAAACCATGTGTCCTGTTATTGGCTCCTTAGACAGATTTCATATACTTCTGCTCTTCAAAACCTGCTGGTCCCGGCACAATGGGAATCTACTAACAGCCACGGGACTATCTATCACTCATTCCTTTTTTCCTTCAGTCACAGAAGTCACAGAAGTTCTTTGTAACCTGAGTAGATTTGGCCAGAAATCTGAAATCATCTTGAAAGCAAAGAAGGATCCCTCTCCCCACCACAAACCCAAGAGGCTCATGGGAATCCTTTGGCAATAAACAGAAGTTCAGATTGACTGTCAGCATGTAAAATTGAGAGTCAGAACTAGGCTGGCCTAAGTATTTACAAAAAGAAGAATTTGTGCCCTGAAAGATCCAGGCAAACGTTTGTGTCCCTCAAAGAGTGTCACAGGTACCTGTGGTCAGAGGTGGTGGAGTTGTACGCTGAGGACATAAAAACCTTCATTCACACGTTTAAGCACTGGCCTGGAATTAGCTTTGGGAGGGTGCTCTGTAGGTTGGAGATTTGCTTCTCCCGTTTGCTCTAGAAGAGGAGTTTGCTGATGAGAAAAACAAGCAGGATGTGGAAGGCACCTGCGAGGGGGCTGCCGAGAGCATTGACAGCCAGGCTTTTGGCTGTGGTCCTGTCTGTAGTCATGGCTGTGGTTTGGTTGGTCTCAGAAATCTCAGGGGTGGGGTTAACGGTTACAGGTGTTTCTGGGGGGAAACAAAAATCAAAGAAACAATGTTATTAGAGCTTTGTTAGGAGGTGGGTAGGCACTAGAAAAAGGCTGGCAAGATGGCTCAGCAGGTAAAGGTACTTGTCATGAGTTTACTTTCTTGTGAAGGTGGAAGATGAGAACTGATCTTAAATTGTTATCCTCTGACCTTCACACACAATTGCACACCGTACACACACAATAATAATAGATTTTTTTTTCCAGAACAGTAAAGCCAGAGATCATGAGCAAAAACCAATCAATATTCCTTCAGTACCATGTGGGGGAGGGAGCTGTAGGCAGCTAGAAGGTTCAGACTGTTAAATAATAAAAATAGCTAAGCTTCGATCATTAAGGTCTGCATGGTCTTTTCTCCTTCATTTTATTTTGCATCTTTACTTTTTAAATGTGTACAGTTGTTTTGTCTGCATGTACGTATGTGTGTCACATGCATGCGGTGCCCTTGAGGCTAGAAGAAGGTGTCAGGTTTCTTAGGACTGGAGTCATGGATAGTTGTGAGGGCCATGTGGGTGCTGGGAATTGAACCTGGGTCTTCTGGGAGAGCATCCAGTGTTTTTAACTGCTGAGCTGAGCCATCTCTCTAGCACCTACATAGTCTGTTGAGATGAGAAGACCCACAGAATTTATAAAACATGAATTTTTCATTGGTTAGGTAGTGCGCCATCAAATATCTTCATACTCTTAACTCTAGTGCAAACATGGCCCAATATAGTACAATTTATAATTTTCTTCCTAATTCCAAGACATTGTGAGAACTCAGTGTTGTGTAGAACCAATAACAGTGACCTCTGTCTTCATATTAGTGAGAGATACCCTATCTAGATAGGTATATAGAGATACCCTATCCAAATCCTTGACTGTTTCTCGGGCTTGCCAGGCCATTTCTCTTGTAGGTTCTGGCCAGACACTGGTTCTCAGCCATTTTCTATTAGAGAAGCAAAGAGAGCCACGCCTCCACTCCCAGGGACTTATCTGATACCAGGAAACCTGGAGCTTGGAGCTCAGACACTTCAAAAGTGTCTCACCCTTAGCTGGGAGTGGGGCCTAGAACCCCAGCCCTGGGTAGAAGGGCACTTTCAGGGGAGGGCAGAGACAGGAGAATTGTTGGGGCTTGTTGGTCAACAGCATAACTGAAAATGGGAAGCTGTAGGCTCAGCGAGAGCCCCTATCTTTAGTCATAAGAAAGACAGCCATAGAGGAAGGTATAGGATGTCTTCCTTTGTTCTTCCCATGTATACCTGCATGTTTGTGCATGCTCATGTGCGCTCTCTCTCTCTCTCTCTCTCTCTCTCTCTCTCTCTCTCTCTCTCTCTCTCTCTCACACACACACACACACACACACACACACACCCACCTTTCTTCTCCTTTAAAACTTGGCAACAAGAGAAGAAAGAAAATGTCCCAGGCCTGCTTGGGGGATACCCTCCTGCTCTGAGACCGTGTCTTTCCAGATTTTCTTCAGGACAACTGTTTCCCTGACAGTCCATGCAGCCAGGGAGCAGAGGAGAGCCATATTCTTCCCCTTTGCTTTCATTCTCTTGTTTGGTTTGAGAGAAGAGTCTTACTCTGTATATCCCAGGTTGGCCTTGAAATTGTGACCATCAGGTTTAGCTCCTAATTGCTGGGAACACAGGTGCACACTACCACTCTGGGCCTTTCCTTTGATTTTTAAACTGTATTTTGATAGGCTAGAGCTAAGGGGTCCTGATCAGAAATAAATATTTCCTGCTCCGTTAGACTTTCTGCAAGTGTTTTTCTCAAAAAATGTCCTTGAGGGAAAACATAACCTCACAGAGGGAAAGCCACCAAGGAAACAGCTGAGACTGTCGTGTAATAGTTTGATTAGGCATAAGCATGTTAAAACTTGTTGTTGGAAATAATTATTCTATTGGTGCATTTTGTAGTAGATAACTTACAGGAAAACCAGCAACATACTGCCTGTCTTTCCTGAGACTCCTGAGAGAAACTAATAGTTCTTGTTTCTCTCTCTCTCTCTCTCTCTCTCTCTCTCTCTCTCTCTCTCTCTCTCTCTCTCCCATGCTGGATTTGAATCCAAGGCCTCACACATGCTTTTGGCTGAATCTTACATTTAAAAACTGCATTAAAATGATCTCGTTAGTTTTAATGAAAGTCTAAGAAAAGTAGAAAGACATGTAAGATTCAGATTTGGAGTCCTCCCTCTGCTCCGGACATTCTCTGTGTCCTTAGGTTAAGTTGACTATCCTTTCTGAAGCTCAGTTTGGAATACTTTGGCTTCTTACAGAGAAATAAGAGAAAAGGGAATAGAGAAAGCATGGATGAGGAGTCCAGGGAAAGTGTGAGCCTGGGGTCTGTACCCCGTGGAAAGCTGGTGGAAATGCCTGGTGATGGTGAGAGTGGCTGCGGCTGTTAGGAACTCATGAAAGAGCTGTGGAGATGGCTTAGTTCGTGAAGTTCTTTTGCTCAGTTGTGAGGACCTGAGTTTGATATCCCCAAACCCCAAAATTCCAGGTGTGGTGGCACATGTTTGTAATCACAGCACCAGAGAGGCCAAGAAGGCAGATCCCTGGAATCACTGGCCAACCATCCTACTTTTAAGTCCCAGGCCGGTGAGAGACCCTGTGTTTTAAAACAAAGTGCAGTTTACAACTGACCTCCATAAGCTTGAATATATTCATATGCATGAACATATGTGAGTGTCTGTACACACTTGTGCTCACACACACACACACACACACACACACACACACACACACACAATGTGTGATAGGAAGAAAACTCATGAAAGGGTCAGGATGCAGGCTAGAGACCATGCACTTTCTTAGCTTCTGCCAAGCTACTAAGGTCAATCTACCTTTTGCAAAAGAAAACAAAAAACAAAAAAGAACAAAAACCAAAAAAAAAACAGCTAACAAGAACTCATGACATTATTGACATTTCTGTGATACCAATTCTTTTTTTATAACTAGTGTCCTCCATCCCTCATGCTGCAAAATTCCCTAGAAAATTTTTTGGTTAAAGTTCACCCTATGAGAAAGCCTTGTGTGAGTTTCTGAGTGGAAACTGAGAGTAATGTTGCTTTTTCATATTGATGCCTATCTAGTACTGAACAGAAATAGTTCCCAATTGAAGCAGGTTTGGAGCCACAGGTGACCATAGGGATTTCTGAAAAGTTACACAAATCTTGGAGAGGGCTTTTGTTTTCCATATGGGATAAAACAAAAGATTGGGAAAATCTCACATTAGGTTCTAGGATGGTAGGGAACTTGGCTGATATGTAGGTAAAATAATTGTCCAGACTGCTTGAGTTTACTGGCAAAGAAATACACAAAGAGTTTGGAACAGAACTTACTTTGCTCTCCCAGGTTCACAGATGTCATTGCAGCTGTTCCATTGCCGGTAGCTAAGAAGACACTGCAGGGCAAATCAGTAAGAGAAATGGTGAGGACCTAATCTGTGGAACGCACAAGCTATGTCTTAGCCTTTTGGGACCACCCCTTCCCATTAATCCTTTTGAATTTACTTTTTATATGGCACAATAAGCTGATCATTAAATATCGACCTAGTTCATATTGACTTGACTAACTCCTCCAGGGTTCTTAATTCCAAACAGCTCTCTCGTCTCCCATCCCCACTAGCTTCTTCATTAGGAATTCCCCACAGGCTGGTACACATCTTTGTCCCTTGTTCAAGAGAGTCTCTTTGTCTGTAATAACTTCTCTGGTAATATCTGTCCAGAAATTCAACGATATCCTTCAAGTCCAGTCTCCCTATAGCTAACCCTGACAGATCTCCCACCTTTTGTGAAATTGAATTGCTATGGGCTTCTCTACCCACTAGAGGGCTGACTTCCGGAGGGCAGGCTCTGTTTTGAATAATGCCTGACATACTGTAGATATTTAATATTCATGAAATGATCCACAGATCTCATTCTGTTGTCACTAACTCAGTGGATCCATTATAACATTAGTCCCTCGTCTATACATCCAGCAAGTCACTCATGAAAGGACACAGTCTGTATGCCAGTCACTGTGCTTGGCAGTGAACCCAACAGTCATGGCATTTGTAGTGCCTTCAGAGACAGATTTCAATGAATATCCAGATAATTAGTTAATGAGTCAGCTGCAGTTGTGATGAGTGTGATGAAGCAGAGGAAGGCTGGAAAGCGTGCAGCAGAGCTCTTTCTGAATCTACATGTTGGGGAAAGCAGAGGAAGCATTTCACCTCATTCTTACATGTGTGGGTCCTGTTTCCCAAGCTCACTGTAAACCTGACAGGCCAAGACCTCTGGTATCCCTTTTGTATCCTACTCAGCACAATGGTATTCCTTGTGTCTCCCTTCCCTTGAGTCAGCCTTACTGATCAAGGCCATGTATACATTATGAACAAGCAAAGAGGCTAGTGTATCATAGTAAATGTGCAAGTGAGGATGGAGACTGCCCTGCTGATGGGATTGTGCTGTTTCCCCTGCAGATTGCTGTTGCTGTGTCACTGCAGACTGTACCTGCTAATACATCGAGTGTGGTCGACGTCCCTACTCTAAGTAGAACTAGCTGGCTTCTAAGCAACTGTTGCCATGGTAGGATTGGTAGTAGTAGTTCCCTTTGGGTTCTGCTTTCATTTATCACTCTATGGAAACAATAGTTCCTCCTCTAAAGTCAATGAAGGCTGGCTAGGTCCAGAGTGTGGCAAGAGAGGGAAGAATGGCTTGACAGCATCACCAGCTTCCACAGACAAGGATGCTACAGTGGACATGGCATGCCAGGGTTACCCTTTCAGGAGCGTTAAGTTTTTCACAACACTTGGTTTCTAAAGTCAATGTAGTATCGGGCCCTCAGAGTGAGAGGCATCTGTTGTGGAAGAATAATGCCGGCCTCCTCTAGGTGGTCTCTTCTCAGAACCTCAGGGCATCCATTTATTATGACAGAAGGAAACTACTGTGTGTGCTCACTGTCACACTTCCTCTTAGCTACCCGTTTCCAAAATGAGTGTATGTTTTACAGATGATTTTTCACTAGATTTACATATACTGTGTGTGTGTGTGTGTGTGTGTGTGTGTGTGTGTGTGTGTGTGTGTAAGTAGAAGGGGACTATTTACAAGAAGGAAGAAGATAACTGAAGGAAAGGGGGAACAAGAGGAGGTAGTGGGGTATGAAAATAAGAAAATCTATTATTTTGTATGATAACAAGTTTTTGTTTTTTTTTTTTTTAAAGATTCACCAGTTTGAATATGGGGAACTTGAAAGAATATCCCAGTCTTCCTGATTATGTTGAGCACTGTGTATTGAGGGGTGTGTGTGTGTGTGTGTGTGTGTGTGTGTGTGTGCAAGAAAAGTACAACAAAGGAAGGCAGGGTAGAAAAGAAGAGCAGCTGCTGGGTTCTCCACCCATAGTCTAGTTTTAGTCCTTGGTTAATGTGAAACTGTATAAACCTGTTATAAAAATTGAAATGCCCAAAGTGAAATACAATCAATCCTTACTGCAGGTTGACTTTAGTCATATCCTCAGAATTAGGAACTATCCACGTTGCCTGGAAGCCAGAACTGTCTGAGGGTGTCACGCGATATAGGACACTGCTGTCATTGCATTCCTGAGTTGCTCCAACCCAGGAACCCACGGGCTTGTTCTGGTTCACTGCTTTCAGAATCACGGCACTGACGGAACTGTTCACGTGAACCAACACTAGGAGGAAAGAACAAGGAAGCAGTTAGTGTGAGCCAAGCAGAACCAAAACGAAGTGTGAGCAGAGGAAGTCACAGAGTGTGGGCAGCATGGTCCTATTGCTGTAAAAGATATTGAAGATGACCTAGACGAAAGTACAAAGACACCAACTGGGGACCAACCCAGTGTGTCGCACACCTGTAGTTCCAGCATTTGGGAGGTGGGGATGGAGGATCATGAGTTCAGTGTCCTCTTCAGCTACGAAAAAGTTTAAAGCCAGCCTGGGCTTCAGATGATTTTAATATTCTTCTTCATGCTTGTATTTCATTTTCCAAATAGTCCACAGTGAAAGGCGGTGAAGAGTCCGATCACCTCCTGGCCCTGGTTCTGCTGCAGTCTAGGGGGCAAATTCTAAGAGCACATAGCTTAACCTCTCCTCAAAGATAAGTAACCCTGAAAAAGTTAGGAGGTCTCCTAGGAAGTACTTCATGGATACAGAAGAGTATTGTTGCTAAGTAAAAGCAAAGCCTTGCTCCTGACCCCAGAACAACTGCTCTCTTGGTCTCGGTTGTTGAAGGTGAGGATGGGGGTAGGACAGTGGTTGGGGTAGGGGTGTGACAATGAGGTCTGGGCCAAAATCCTATTCTAAGGACCAATCAACTAACCCCTTAGGGGTCTTCTCTAGTCAGCTGAGGACTGTGACCCAGCCTGTCTACCCTTACAGGGATCTTGCAAACCTTTGTTAATTTCAACATGAGGATATTTCATTTTCTCTGGTTTTCTCTCCTAGAAGAGCCAGCATGAGTAAATGCTTCAATACTGGGGTGTCTCAGTCATCTGAAACTCCTCCACAAAGCAAAGCAGGGGCTCATGTAGCATAGCAGTTCGATAGTCATAGATCTTCATCCTGGGTCTAGTACTTAGGAGCAAGGCAAGTCACCTGTGGGCCTTGGTTTCTTCTTGCTCAGTGGTCACTGTGTACAGTTTTTTTTTTTTTTTTTTTGAAACAGGATCTTGTCCCAGGCAAAACTCAGGTATAGCTGAGGATGACCTTGAACTCCTGATTCTCCTGCTTCTATGTCTTGTGTACAGGCATTACAGGTGTGTACTGCCATGCCTAGTTTATGAAATACCAGAAGTTGTTATGTTCTAGGCAAGCACTGTACTGATTTTTTGTAAGTTCCCACTTTGTTGCTCTGGGTCTGGAGAACAATGACATTATCCCTCATTGTCTGGGATGATGCTACCTGTCAGTAAAGGCTCCTGAGAGGATTGAAGAAAAGATGCTAACACGTGGTTCATATTGGACAAATTGTGAGTGTTATTACTAATTATATTTCAGCACATTATAATTCATTGGCCTAGTTGCTTGCCAAGAAGGTCAGCTGACCCAAATCCCATAAGTCCTGACTCATTCAGAGAGGTGCTGGCTTTTGTCCTACATTTTTGCACCCTGGTGGGGCAGAAGGTGATGCACAACAGTGTCATTTAGTAGATAAGAGAGTCATCAATCCTCTTAGCTCTCCAAGGATGTTTTCTTGACTGTTCCTTTTTCTGCTTTTCCCCTTTTGCTGTGGGTTTATGCCTTCCTTTCTTTCTTCCTAAGCACAGGCATTCTCTGGAATTGTGACCTCAGTCTCTCCCTCAGCAGTGACCAGACCAGACTTCCTCACATAACAAGTGGGAAGTGCGCCCTCCTATCTAGAGAATCGAAACATTTCCACTTTCACATTCCTGCCTCTTCCTTGTCAGTGACAGTATTCAGGACCCCAAGAGCCTAGCCTCCCTCTTCAGTCCACATTCCACTCTAGAGACAGCAGCTGGTTCCCTTCCCCCCTCCCCCTCCCCTTCTCCCACCCCCAGCTGCTCTGCAAGTGCACCTGGCTCCAGTCTGACCCGCACCTGGGCCTAGTGTTTGTTCGAATCTGGATGCTTGTCTGGAGCCTTCCTTTTCTTTTACCATTCACCCAGTCCCTATTTAGACACCGAGATCTTGCTCACATCCCTCCTCGGGACTAAGCCCTCTTTTCCCCTCATACCTGAGATATTGATACCTTGTTTATAGGTTTTTATATATTTTAGATTATATTTTATGGTTTCTTTGGTGTCAGTATCTAGGCAGCCCAGTGTTTGGCACGAAACAACTACTTTTGATTGATCCTAAGGCCCTGCATCAGGCAGGGAGGCGGATGTAAAGTTGGTGGTAGAGTGTTTGTCTAGTGTGTTTGAGGTCTTGGATTCTGTCTCTAGCACTTAAAAAAAAATCCTGTATTCAATGGAGTACAATGCCCTTAAAGCTGGAAAGTTCAGGGAGTAATAAATTACATCCTTCTTGTCCGTAGAAGTGAGCAATGAGGCAGGGGGTGGCCTAGTATAGTCAGTTGTAATGTAAATATTGCTTCTTCCCTGAGCAGGTCCAGGGAAGGTGCGCTGGGGTGTTGGCTACACTGAAGCTGTCTCTGGGGGTCTACCAAGCCATTTGTGCATAGATCATCAATGCTGACACAACGCTGAAGTGGAAAAAGATTTCAAGTCCACACGAGAAGGCAGCTGACCTGGTGTTTATTCGGGTCTCAGAAGGTCTGAGTCCTGGCCATGGCATTCTACAGTGGCACTGGTAAATGGTTCTTTGTAACTGTAGGGGTGGAATTCGGCCTCTCATCCCCAAGGACAGAGGATTTCTGACCTTCAATTTAAAGTATGACTCAGAGCTACCTCAGGGCTCGAACACTTTCTGGTTTGAAATGGAATCTGATGAAGAGCAAAGCAGGTATAGGCATTCAAGGAAGTGGAGTTCTTTTCCCTTTCCCCGAGGCTACAGGAACTGTTGTGGTTGCCCTTCCTCCCTTCTCCCCATTGTCTTGTGGTTTCCCCCTCCTGCCTCACTCTGCTAAGAAAGGCTCCCAACGTGTTCATCTCCTCTTCCCTCAGTAGACTTCTTGTTCTCCCATTTCAGCAGCAGACCTGTCTCCTGATTTGCCATTTTACATGAGAGGCCTGTAGTCACATTAATGAATTCACACACACACACACACACACACACACACACACACACACACACACCCCTAGTATTCATCTTGAATTACAGACTTATCTCCCCTGTTCTGGTATGAAAAGACCCACTTCTCAAGGGAGCAAGGCACAGTCCTGTTACAGCAGGAGCACTTGCTTAGGGACAGCCCCCAGGAAACATAAGAGACAAGCAGGATGCCTTTGGGAAGCCAGGGCATGGTTAAGGCTGGTTCCCGAGTACGGCTGGCCATAACCAAGGTGGTCTCTGCAAGATTTGCTTAGATTTTTTAAGAAAGAAAGGGCGACATCTGTGATAAGAAGGGTGACTCTTGGCTGAGTTCCTTAGGATCAAATATTAGTTCTGTTACATTCTAGTGATCTTGGTAAAGATTTTGACTTCTATATGCCTCCTTTTTCTCCCTCTGTAAAATGGAGGTTAATAATCGAATTTTCCCTTAGAGCAAAAGGTAGCTCACGGTAAGACTTAGCATTATAATGTGGCTGTACATCCAGATCCACTATTTCCATAGCTCTGTGACCGGAGCAAGTCACCCAGCATCAGTGTCTGTCTGCTCTGTGTGCACACACATACACACATCCTGAGAGAACATATGCTATAATAATAACAAATTTAAAAAATAAATTGAACATTAAAAAAAAGAATGAAGAAAGCTAGGTAGAAACCATTTCCCTTGACTAATAGGTTTGACTAATTAGAATGCTTACTCTTTAACTTGTAGGTTTGTTGAATCCCGAAAGCGATTATGAAATACTTTCCAGATCTCTCTTAAGAAAAACATTAGGTTAAGATTGAATAGCTAAGGGCCAGGGAGCGTCTGCCACTTGTGGCAGTGACTCCCCAGCAAGTCATTTAACATGTCTGCACTCTGGCTCCTCAAGTATAAGGTGGGCTACTACTGATGTTTTCCTCCAGCTCACATGCTCTTTCCCATGCACTAAATGCAGACCACCCTGGCTGGTGGCCTGCAGGGTGCAATCATTTTGTTAAGACCACAATGAAATTCCTCAAAATAACACAATATCCCTTTAACACAGCCCAGGTGTGATCTGGCTGGGGCTCAGTTAATCGGCGCACTGGGGCGCACTGGGGCACATTGGGGCTTTATACCATTCTCGGTTCAGTTATGGACAGGAAACTGCAGAAATAGTTCTTCCAATCCACTCTCATGTCTTAATCAGCCCTCCTCATTTCCTGTTCTGTTCACACACACATTGAGGGCAGGAAGGAGGGGTATGTTCTGAGAACAAAGGACAGCAGAGTGAATGGCTTAGACTCACCTGTGTAGGTTATGTTCTCACCAGAGCTCCCGGCCACCGTAATGCTGACTCCCAAGTTGTCGCTGGTGGAGATTGTATCAAAGACCATGCAGGGGTCATTATAACTTGCAGACAAGGCAGGAGAAAAGCACAGAGCCAGGCACAGAAACAGCCCCAGCTGTGGCAGCAAGGAACGGAGCACAGCCATTGTAGTGGTTGGCTTGTTGGCTGGGCCTTGCAGTAGTAAGACAGAGCAGGAGTGCCGACTCTCCGGTTTATATGCTGTGGGGCCGGAGCTTCTGGGTGAGGTCATGTATGCAAATCTTCCCCCTCCCTCCTGAAATTACTGTCTTCTGGAATTTGGCCCAAGACATCACCAGGAATGAATCACCAGCCTCCACCAATTCCAGTTTTGCTCAAGAAGAGGACTAGACAAACTCTTGTGCATGTCCCTCACCTCAACACCTGACAGCTGAAGCAGTAGAGAAGTGGTAAGCTTTGAAGTGGAAGTCCACAGTTGAATAATTCTCACATAAGTGGTCTGTTTGGAAGCTCTGCCTTTCTCTGCAGAAACTCAGGCACGGGTGCCATTCTTATCGCAGAACACCGCATAGACTTCCCTGATGCTCCTCCAATTTCCAGTTCATCTCATTACTAGCCTAGAGCTGGAAGGACTGTCTAGATATTTGCTTACTTGTTTTTTAATTACATTTGTTGATTTGTGTTGGGGTTGGAGAGATAGGAGGATGCACAGGCCACAGTGTATATATAGGGGTCAGAGAACAACTTTTGGGGGTCATTTCTTTCCTTCCATTTCATGGGTCATTAGGATTGAACTCAGGTTTGGTGGCAGATGCCGTTAGCCATTAATGCATTCCAGGCTTGCTTTGAGTTCTCTGTGCATGAAGATGACCTTGAATTTCTTCAAAAATATAATCTTTATTTTACTTATTTAATTTTTGAGGCAGGGCCTCATTGTGTAGCCTCAGCTGGCATGGAACTTGCAACATAGATCAGGCTGCCCTCTGACTCCGAGAGAACTGCCTGCCTCTGCTTCCTAAATGCTGGGATTAAAAGGTCTGTATGACCACACCCAAGATTGATTTTATTTTTAATTACTTGTTTGTGTGAGTGCCTGTGGGTCTGTGCTTGTCAGTGCAGTTACCCTGGGAGGCCAGAGGTCTCAGATCTCCTGGAACTGGAGTTATAGGCAGTTATAGCATGGGTTCTGGGCATGGACTGCCCTTCTACTGCAAGAGCAGTATGAGCTCTTAACCACCAAATCATTACTGCAGCCCAGAGCCTTGAATTTCATCATGCTTCAACATTCCAAGTTTTGGGAGTAGGGGGTGCACAATCACACCCAGTTTATATAGACACTGGGGATTGAATCCAGAGCTTCTTGCAGGCTAGGCAGGCACTCTACCAACCCAGGCACATCCCTTTTATTTTTATTTTATTTATTTGGAAAGGAACATATTAGGCCCTCATTGCTCCTGAAACTTCCCTCCACAATGCCAGAGCAGAGGGAAATTATTTGTAAAAGTTGAAAATTGTTTTTCATAGCCCCAGAACCCCCTAGAACTTTGTTATTTACTCACTGAAAGAAATGAGGGAGAAGTAGGTCACTTTGTGAGTAGAAAGGAAATAAAAATACTGTTGAACCAAGGCAACAGTTTTAAATTTTTTAGTTAGCTAATTTGTGAATGTACCCCCTTCCCTCTGTATGTAGATCCCAGGAGGATTTGTGGGATCTGTTATTTCCTTCCACCATGTGGGTTCTGGGTCTGGAACAAGGCCATCAAACTTGGCATCCAATCACCCTTTACCTGCTGAAGTGTCTAACAGGACCTGAACCACAATAACGGTTTTAAGTGTTCCTTCTAGAGAAACTTGTCGTCTTGGGGCAAGGACCTCCAAAATACCTGTTTAACATCAGCTGTGAGAATATTGGCAATAATGGTCAAAATGTGCTTTTTACAAACCTCTAGAAATTAACCAAAAGTTTTCCAATAATCCAGAAACATGTATTTAAAGAAAAAGAATGGCTTAATATTGTTGAAAACAGTGATGCTGAGGCACTTTAGCTTGTCTGGACCCACTCTCTAACCTCATCCCCATGGTGGCCACAGAAATTCACAATTTTACTATGTTGATTGTGGAGACCAGAAAACTAGTAGCTGATAGAAGGAGCCAGCATGGGATTGGGGTCTTCCAAAATAATTGAATCTCTGGTGTGATTATTGTCTGTGTGACCTCTCTGGAATCTGCTTGTAAAATTGCGTTCTTAGAACTTAAAATTATTTTGACTGGATTCAGAACTTTCTTGATGGACAGCTTTATTAATAGGGTGCTGGTCAAAGATAGTCGGGTTTTTTATAAGCATTGTCTTGAGGCAGTGATCCCATTTGGGATCAAGAGATTGAATTAAGAAAATAAAACCATAAAAAGATAATCATAGAGAGTTTTGAACGCTCCAACAAGTTCTTGGGAAGCTAAGTTGTTTGGGCGTGGTGCTGCATGTGACTAGGAAAGGACCAGAAAACCCCTCTCACCTTTGACACATGCTGACTCTCACAAACAGGAAGAGAAGGCTAATATTAGAGTCATAAAACTGCCCAGCTGACCACAGAAGCCATGCCCCAAATGTGGATGGATGTAGGGCATTCATTCAGCGAAGCCTGGAGCCATTCTTGGTTAAAATACTGAAGGAAATTTCTGTCTGCTCATGAGTCGGCCAGTAGGTTAACTAACCGGGGCCAGGCATGCTAAGGATCAGACTGTACAGATGAATTCAAGAAACTCAGGAACCAATAACAACAACAGCAGCAATAGACAACAGCTGCCCGAAGGGGGAGGGAATCTAGGTCCGGAGATGCCACATTTTTTGAGTGTTCAGTCTTCAACAAAGAGTTACAAGATGGGGGCAGGGAGTGTAGCTTCCCTGACAGAATGCATGCCTAATATACGTGAGACCTTGAGTTCGATTCCCGGCACTGAAAACCAAACAAACAAACAAACAGAACTACAGTACATATAACAAAAACAAAACCCCAAAATATGGCCCATAAAAAAGGAAAAATCGCTCAGTAAACTGAAACTGTAATTGAGGGAATCCAATTATTCTATTTAGTAGATAATATATTACTATATTGAAAGAATTAGGAAATGTGTCTAAAGAATTAAAGGAAGGTACATAAAATTGTGTCTCATCAGAGAGTAACAATAAAGAAACAGATATATTTTTTAAATAGAGATCCAAAAATAAATTCTGCAGTTAAAATCCCAATAATAAATTAAATTAAATTAGTTTATTTTGAGATAGGATCTCACTTTATCGCCCTGGCTGCCCTCAACTTGCTATGTAGACCATGCTGGCCTCGAACTCATAGAGAGATCTACCTGTTTCTGCCTCCTGAGTGGTGGTGGTGGGGTTAAAGACATGCACCACCACAGGTAGTCCCTGTGCTGATTTGAATAGGAGTGGTCCCTGTTAGCTCCTGTATTTGAATGCTTGCTCATTAGACAGTGGTTAGGAGGTATGGCCTTGTTGGAGGAAATGTACCACTGCGGGTACACAGCTTTGAGGTTTCAAATACTCAAGCCAGGCCCAGTGTCTCTCTCTTGCTGCCTGTCAATATGGATGTAGAATTCTCAGCTAATCTCCAGCCCCTGCCTGCCACCATGCTCCCCACCATGATGATAATGAACTAAACCTCTGAAACTGTAAGCCAGCCCCAATTAAATGCTTTCCTTTATAAGAGTTGGTCATGGTGTCTCTTTACAGCAATAGAACATTGACTAAGACAGCCTCTAATAATAAATTGTTTAAAAACTACTAAAATTGGACAACAGGTTTCAACTGGCTATACAAAGCATCAGTAAACTTTAAGATTGCTCAACTGAGTAAAGTTAACAAGAGGGATGCAAGTTAATAAGAGGAACAAAATAGTGTGCATATTCACACTTTCTGATTTTAAAACTTACTACAAAGCTATGATGAAACAGGATGGTAATGGCCTATGTTCAGCCATATAGATCAGTGGAATAGAAGTAATCCCCTGTGTTTATGAGCAGATGAGCTATTTAGTGTTTTCTGGTTCTTAAACTTATATCCAGGTTTTACACATGCTGGGCAAGTGCTATACCACTGAGTTAACCCTACCCAGCCCTGACCAATTGTTGTTCTAACAAAGGTAGCAATACAGTTCAATGGGGAAAAACAACTATTTCAACAAATATTAATAACTGGATATCCATATGCAGAAGAATGAGATTGAACCATATATAAATATTAACTCTTGATGGATCAAAGATTTAAATGTAACTATGAAACTTGTAGTACATGTATAACCTTCTGGCCTTGGTTGGAACAATGCCTCCTTAGATGTTCTGCCCAAGACAAAAGTAGGAAAAACAAAACAGAGCCCTATAAAAGAAAGTAAAAACATAGTTCACATAACTGGAGAAAATATTTATAAATCTTATGCCTGATAGAAATTGTGTGTGTGTGTGTGTGTGTGTGTGTGTGTGTGTGTGTGTGTGTGTGTGTGTGTGTTGATGGGCAAAGAGTTTGAATACTTTCTTCAAAGAGATAGCTGTGTTCAATATGCATGTGGAAGGACCCTCAGCAGCATTAGAGAAAGGCAAATGAAAACCACACTATCATCCCACACTACAGACACTACAATCAATGGTGCTGCCGAACTTGGGGGGTCACAACCTGTGCCCCAGGTCAGATCTGGCCATCCACCCTTGATGAGCCAATTAAAAAAGCTTGATTGACGTGGAGAACAGGAAAAGGAGATTGACTCAGTGTAGCCACGTTGGGAAGAGGGACAAGGAGATTCACCGACTCCTCAAATCTGTCCCCAGTGGGATCACAGTGACTAAACATCCCTTTCTGCTTTGTGCTTTTAAATTGTCTTACTGAGGAATCGGTGACTGGACCTGGATTTGGGCACAGATTGTAACCCCAAAATGGGTAACAATGTCTTGCTTGTTGGCATGGTATAGAGACTCTCCCCGGAACATTCATGCATTTCCAGCAGAAATATCAAATGGTGTGGCTGACATTCAAAAATGTTTGGCATTTAACCAGTTAAACTACTGTTTGGCCCAGGAACTCCAATCATGGGTATTCATCTAAAGGAATAAAAATGGCAACTCCCCACAAAAATCTCTGCAGGAGTGTTCATGGAAGCATTAATCCCAGTAGCCCCAAATCAACTCTGAATAAATAAACAAAATGCAGAATATTTTTACAATAGACTATTACTTAAAAGCAGGAATGAAGTATTGATCCACCCACTGTCAGTGGAGAAACCTTGGATAGGTCACACTTTGTAAAGTAAGCCGGACACAGAAGACCACATACTATATGATCTCACTTATGTGAAATGTCCAGAATAGGAAGTCTGCAGATACAGGAAGTGGTTGCCAGGGCCTGGGGGAAGGTGTGAAAGGGAAGTGAGTGCTAATTGGTTTGAGGCTTCTTTGGAAGTGATTTGGAAGTGTTCTGGAAACAGTGGTGATGATGTTGAAACCCTGAGAATGAAATAAAGATCATCGGAGTGAATTTTATGACCTGTGAATTTCAACTCAATATGCATTTTTATTTATAATGTGTGCTCTGTAGGTGAGCTGGGGCCAGGGGCCACAGTGTTGCTTCATATCCAGCTCTGTTTGTAACACTGGCTTTTATCCAACCTATGTAAACTTTAGTCTTCATATTTTGGCAGGGAGGTGAGGTGAGGTAGGGACTAGGAATAAACCCAGGGCCTTGAGCTTGCTAAGGATGGGGCCCTACCCTGAGCTACCCCTCCAGCTCAAGTCTCCTCTTCTGAGAATTGGGGTGATAAAACCAATTTTTATGAATACTAGATGAAAGTTATGTGTGATTTGTTTTGGAGAGTGGGGTAGGCTGTTAGAACAGTATTTTAAGCATTTTAAACAAGCTAATTTGATTTTTCTCGCTTTCCCACCTTCCCTTCCTTTCTCCTTTCTTCCCCCTCTTCCCCTCCCTCTTCCTTCTATAGAAAGTTTACCAATTGCTGCAGGCCTTCATCGGTCCCTCTGGGAAAGACCACTATCAAGGGACAGAAAGCATCTATCCTTTCAAGATCAAAGCCTAAAGTCTCTTAAATTCACCAGAAGTGGTCTGAAGCAGTCATTGCTGGTCCGAGGAGCCCTGGGGTTTTGACCTTGTCTCCTAAGTAAGTCAAAAGTGTGATCATGATGTGGCTAAGAGCACAGGCCTAAGCCAAGAGGCTGGAGTTAACCTGCCTGAATCTTTTGTCTGATTCCTACTAGAACACCGCATTTTCAGGAGGATGATAGATAGCCAGGTTTAAAGGAAATGATATAATATACTTGCTACAAAGTGAGGCCCTTTCTATGGTAGGGTTTTTTTTGCTTGCTTTTTATTTATATTTTTATTTTTTAACACCTTCGCAGGACACTGTGCTCACTCTAGGGAGAAGGGCTAAAGAGGAAGGGACCAGAGAGCCTCTTCTTTCAAGTCCATAGATGCTGATGCCTTACAGTGGTACATTAATGGTCTTGAGGACAACCTCTGTGCTTCAGGGGTAACAGTGGCAGCATTTTAGAAGATGCAGACTCTCTTTTTCATTGCCCAACAGAGTTCACTGTTAGATAACACATTAGGAAGTTCAACTTCGTCTTCCCCTGAGAAATAATTTTCATGTTGCTCCTTCATATCTGATTGAGGAGACAGGACAGAAAGATGAAAGAACTTGCCCTAAGCATAGACAAGTACATGGACCCTGGCCTCTTCCTAGTGGCCAGAGTTGTTCTACTGTGTAGCTCCCATACCATATAGCTCCTCTGGTGTATACCTCCCATACTGTATAGCTTCTTTATGATATAGCTGCATTGCTGTATAGATCCCGTATTATATATCCTATCTATGGTATAGCTTCCATATTATGTAGCTCCCATGTTGTATGGTATCGTTTCCATATTATGTAACTTCCATACTATATAGCTTCCATACTGTATAGCATGACCATGATATAGTTCCATTACTGTATAGATTCCATATTGAATATGGTATAGCTTCCATATTATATAGCTCCCATATTTTATAGCTCCCTATGGTATAGTTCCCATATTATATAGCTTCCATACTATACAGCTTCTACAATGTGTAGCTTTCATACTGTTCAGCTTTCTTGGTTAGTTAGCATGAGTTTGCTCTGCTTAGCATTTTCTATTCAGATGTATCCAAAATGCAGCATATTTTAATTTGCCATGTGTGTGCTCTTGCCTAGCCTACTTGCTATTTGTGGGTCTTAAAGTTTACAGTTACCACAGTCAGTTGTTACATCTTTTCTCTAGGAATTCACTGGTCACTCTGCGCCTTCATTTTATGTGACTGTGCTTTAAGTGCACAGTGGGATGTACCTGATGCTGTACTTGGATGGTTGGGTATGTGCCAATGGTCCCTGGTTTGGTGTTGGGTGTTCGGTGAGCTATAGTGTCTATAGTCAATTATTGAATTCCAGGCTGGCCATACCTCCCAGAGACAGTCTGGAAAATTCTTCACTTGTCTTTGGGGAATGATAGAAACAAGAACAAAAATGGTAAGATTTAAAAGAGAAAACAAAATGTATTCTGTTAATTTGGAACTGACAACTTTTGACTGCCTTTAATTCTGGTCCCCTCCACCTTAACTTATCTGTATTTACCTTATAATAAATGGGATGTAATGTGGACAAGATATTCACACTCATAAGCCTGGTTTAGTCACTTCTCATCGAGCTTTACAGCATGGGGGAAGTTAGGGTTTTGTTCCCCAATACTTTACTGTGGAAAAAGCTGTGGGGAATTCCTCCCACCAACTTGTTTCAGCTTAACTTATTCTCAGAGTACTAATACATGCTAAAATAACCATGGGAGATGGAAGATTTAACAAGTGGATCCTCCAGGATGAAACTCAAGCCATTACATTTAATTTTTCTTATAAAAATTAAGATGTATCTCAGAACACATTGGTGACAAAAATAGTTGATCTACCAAGAAATCCATCTCTACCAAAACACTTTGGACTATGAGATAAACAAGACCTTACACTAAATTTTACAATAAAGGAGCTGGAAACCACATGGTGGCTCAAAACTACGTATAATTCCAGTTCTGGGTCTGATACCTTCTGACCTCTGCAGGCACCAGGCATCCATGTGGTGCACAGACATGTAAACATTCTCACAAAATAAAATAATTCTATAAGGAAGGTTTTACAACAAAGGAGGGGTTAAGGGAGGTGAGTGGATATGGTCAAATATATTGTATAAAATTCTAAAAAGAAGAAACTAAAGATATTTTAAAAATAAATTAAGTAAGCTAAGGCAAAACTGGAAAAGGTATTTCTAGCTTTGCTGTATTGCCTAATACAATATTGTATTTTATTGACAGTAGAAAGAAATCCTATCAGACCTGTACGGTAAGAATTTTGAGTCTCTAAAGAAAGAAATGAAAGAAGATACCAGAAAATGGAAAGATCTCCCATGCTCTCGGATAGGTAGGACCAACATAGTAAAAATGGCAATCTTGCCAAAAGCAATCTACCGATTCAATGTAATCCCCATCAAAATCCCAACACAATTGTTCACAGACCTTCAAAGAACAATTCTTAACTTTATATGGAGAAACAACAGACCCAGTAGAGCAGAAACAACCCTGTACAATAAAGGAATTTCTGGAGGCATCACTATCCCTGACTTCAAGCTCTATTACAGAGCTATAGTCCTGAAAACAGCTTGGTACTGGCACAAAAATAGACAGGTAGACCAATGGAATAAAGTTGAAAACCCTGATATTGTCTCACACACCTATGAACACCTGATTTTTGACAAACAATCCAAATTTATATGATGGAATCAAGAGAACATCTTCAAAACAGACAAGCCATGCATGTTATAGTGTTTTTATATAGTTTACTTGTTATCATTAATTCATGATGATGCCATGCATTAAACTCTCATGTTCTCAGCAAAAAGCAATAAAAATAAAAATAAATATGCTATTTGAAAACAAAGCAATCTGCTTATAATGATCTGGACCTGAAATTGAATTTCTTTATATAAATCAGCATGAAGTCTTTTTTTGTGCCAGATGCTGTGTATGAGTCAGATTTTAAAGTTTAAATTAAAATGTATCTTGGTATCATCAGCCAGGTTTGACATGTTAACATTTTTTCCATGCACTGTTTAGCTCTCTCTCTCTTTACAAAATAAAGCTCTACAAGCTGGTTGTGGTGGGCCAAATGCACGCCATGCATTCTGTGCTTGAATGCCTATTACTACTTGTCCACTGCATAGAATAATCCAGTGAATCTGGTGGATCTTCACTGCCTGTTTTCCTTTGAAATAAAATCTGTCTGTCAAAACATCAAAAAAAAAAAAAAAACATCTTCAACAAATGGTGCTGGCATAAATGGTTGCAGACATGTAGAAGACTACAGATAGACCCAAGCCTTTCACCCTGCACAAAACTTAAGTCAAAATGGATCAAAGACCTCAACATAAACCCAGCCACACTAACCCTATTAGAAGACAAAGTGGGAAATACCCTTGAATTAATTGGTACAGGAGACCGCTTCCTGAACATTACACCAACAGCACAGACACTGAGATCAACAATTAATAAATGGGACCTCCTGAAACTGAGAAGCTTCTGTAAGGCAAAGGACACAGTCAGCAAGACAAAACGGCAGCCCACAGACTGGGAAAAGATA